TTTTTTGTTTTTAAATACTCTGATCTAAACATGCGGGATGCTGAGACAACACGAGAGAAGCCTAGGAAACAACCACACGTAGTGGAGATCAAGTGGTTTTCAGCTTCTCAAGAGTTTTCTCAGTATTCCAAGTGTAAGATCTAAGTTCATATTTCTTTTTAAAATAACAAAGTGTTGTCAAATACATTACATACTGTACAAAAATTATTTTCCTATGAAAGTCCTAAAATGGTATTTCGACCAATCAGAGTGTGCAAAAGAACTCGRTCATTTTAAAAATCTTATTATTAATGTTAGAACATTTCTTCATATCAATTTAGTAACCTTAGCCTTTGAAAACAAGACCTCTTTATAGTTAAGAGCTTGGTTGGAATATTTCCCATTTCAGACCATGTCTCATTCCYTTTCAGAATAATAAAGATTATATTTATTTGTTTGAGTTGTATCCATATTCATGTCTCTTCTCATGCACAACTGTTAAACAAAGGAAYGATACTCAAGGGAATGACACGTGGTCTGAAATGGAAAAAAAATACTCCAAATTAAAATCAACAACTTTTTCTTTGGCATTAGAACCCAGATAATCTGGTATTTCACGCTGGTACAGCTATAAAAGAATTGGATTCTGGGAAAGAAGTGGTAACATCTGGAGGCCGTGTACTGGCAGTCGTCAGTGTGGCTGGTTCAGTTGAAGAAGCCCAGAAAAATGTCTACCAACAGGTGTTGAAGGTTTGCTTTGAAGGGGTCTACTACAGAAAGGATATTGCTGCTAAAGCTTGCAGGTAGTGCCATTTTGCCATTTCATTCTAACCTATAAGAAATAATAAGTTTATATTTTATGTCGTGATATGGGAAGTCTTTGCTGAGTCTCCTTTGCAAGAGGCTAAGTACACAACACACTACACACTTGCTACCACAGATTATATTTAATACAAATATTTTTAAAAAGGTCGTTGAAGGTTAATTGTTGCATGYAATTACATGATTAAAACTAGTAGCCAAAGTTTGGTGACATTCCATATTATTGTGACTTTTTTTTTGATTCATTCACTGGCAACAAAACCTTGACCCAAGCTTAGCTGTATTCAAAGCAGGCAATACACATGTAGAGGAAGGAAAACCAGAGAACTCTTGCAGCAAGAGAGATTCAGAACAAAACATCTATCAAACCTAACTTGYAAACTTGCCTAGAGAGGTTTTACAACAACCATGTTTTGGGACAGTAAATTTACTTCTCACTCATACATAAAATCATAAAATTTCTTTATACAGATCTATCTGTYATACGTACAGTAAATCAGGTGTGAACATTGATGCTGGTAATGCTCTAGTCAATGCTATCAAGCCCCTTGCTGCGGCTACATCTCGCAGTGGTTGTAGCGCAGACCTTGGTGGATTTGGAGGGTTATTTGATCTTCATGCTGCTGGGTATAAAGACCCTTTACTTGTTAGTGGCACTGATGGAGTAGGRACAAAACTTAAGGTAAATACTTTTTCTCAGTGTGCCTTCACTTTGATCAGCCCAGAGGTTGTTTCAGGGTTCAATCTGTGATTTAGCCTTACCCTGACTTAGATCAGCCCAGAGGTTGTTTCAGGGTACGATCTTTGATTTAGCCATACCCTGACTTAGATCAGCCCAGAGGTTGTTTCAGGGTTCAATCTGTGAGTTAGCCGTGCCCTGACTTAGATCAGCMCAGAGGTTRTTTCAGGGTTCAATCTGTGATTTAGCCATACYCTGACTTAAATCAGCACAGAGGTTGTTACAGGGTTCAATCTGTGAGTTAGCCGTGCCCTGACTTAGATCAGTCCAGAGGTTGTTTCAGGGTTCGATCTGTGAGTTAGCCATGCCCTGACTTAGATCAAGTCAGAGAGTGTTTCAAGGTTTGATCTGTGAGTTAGCTTTGCCCTGGCTTACAGTATAGATCAGCCCARGGGTTAYTTCAGGGTTCGATGCATTAATTTGATATTTGACTTGTCTTTCCCACTAGATAGCACAATCAATTGGTTGTCATAGCACCATTGGAATCGACCTGGTTGCTATGTGCGTCAATGATATTTTAGCTCATGGTGCTGAGCCTCTTTATTTCCTGGACTATTTTGCGTGTGGTAAACTGGACGTGGGTGTRGCCAARGAGGTTGTGAGTGGCRTCGCTAAAGGATGTTCCATGGCAGGATGTGCTCTGATTGGAGGTAAGCCATGAAACCAGCATAAAAACATGATTTTTAACATCTACATCTACATTCAATGTTATTACAGTTGAGTAAAAATCTTGTGGCCAATTAATGCAAAATAGAGGTTTGTTCACAATGAATATTAGGGGAAAATGTTTGAACCATGCAACTACCTGTCCATTTGACAAAGAGTATCTGATAAATTGTTTTGACCCAAGCCAGTGTCTGCCGGAAAAAGGGTGTCCTGTTAATAGACATCTGCAATCWCATTTACAAATGCTTTCAATTGATTTCTTTGKACGCAGGTGAAACAGCMGAAATGCCAGGCATRTACAAGGAAGGGGAATATGACGTGGCAGGCTTCACAGTCGGTGCCGTGGAACGTGAACACCTACTACCCCTCAAAGAAGCCATCAAACCAGGAGACTCCATCATAGGACTGGCATCATCTGGTATCCATAGCAACGGCTTCAGTCTTGTGCGAAGGATAGTAGAGTCAGCCGRTTTAGACATTCATTCTCAGTCTCCCTTTAAGACCACGGAGGSCATCCAGTCCTTGACGTCACTGGGSGAGGCTCTTTTGATCCCTACTCGGTTGTACTGTAAAGCTGTGTTACCACTAATGAAGGATAAGATGATCAAGGGCTTTGCRCACATCACAGGTACTGAAGAAAATGCTGAATACAAACGTTGAACTTCACARGCACCAAACCTAATGACATAAACAAAGACTGCCCTATTATTCATGAGAGATAAAGACTTTTATTAGCTGCTTGAAACCCAGCATTGTTTTTTATAGGGGTAAGGAGGATGAGTTA